GCCCAGAAAAAAATACTTAAGGAAGTGTATATATAAATGTATCGGTATGCATAGTGATATAAATATCTGTACATTAAAAACAATAGCCGTGTTCAAATAACTAATCACGTTCATGTTTATGTGAGGGTTCAGGTGAAGTTTCATTGCTATGTAGCTTCTTGTATATACTGATAGTACAATGTTACTACAGAACTATACAAGAGAACACCACCGTGTACGCGGTATCGGACGTGAACATGCACTAAATACACCACAATTGATCCATTGAGCTAAAATTCGCATTCATCATTTCATCACCTCTTAGTCACTTCAATGCATTAATGTGATCACCAGGATGTATAAGATAACTGCGCACTTTCTTAGTCTCGCTACATGCTCACCGTCCACAAACATACCAGTAGTGTTTCGCATATTTTTTTCACGTTCTGGTAGAGATTCAATCTCTCCATGCACGTCACGCATCCAGGATTGGTAGCCCGAGTCAGATAAAAGTGGCAGCTGATCGGCAATTGATCGCGCACCTAAATACCTATGCACAGTATCGCGGTCTGATCTCAGAATAGCTGCATAGACCGAGTATACGACTATAGCTAGCATCAATCGAGCGACAGTGCTACGGCACATAGGCCGCTTGCTGTGCTTCTCCAGCATTGTGTACACACTGGGTACGAGCCTACGAGGGCATACACCAGTCGAGACTATAGTTATTTATAAGTCAAACTGTGTACTGTACAATATACATTATTAATATATGGGTTTAGATTATGGTAAAATGGAACGAAAGCCAAGAAGCCAAGAATTGAACACTTTTTTTGTAAAGAGCATATTTATCTACCGTTGCTAGGGATCCGCTTGCTGTAACGCTTTGGTGTATGTATCTGGTTTAACTGGGCGTGTTTCGCACTCTTCACACGAATAAAATATACAAGAGTTTCAAGTTATTTCAAATCCGAGTCTTCAAAATCTATATCGCATCGCGAATCATGTATTACACAGTCCTTGGACTCGTACACAAGCCGATTTCAGATGATTTGTCAGCGACGGTCAAACACTGTGATACCAAAAGGCTTCACACAAATGAAGTCAACTGCAAGAACATGTACAAAGTAATCGGAACAATTGGTTGTCTATAGTGCGATTATTTAAATGTTTAATTATTCGGTGTACAGCGTCGATACCAAACTGAGCCTTGAACAATAGTTTCATTGAGTGATAGCTGTTCTTGAACTATGCAAGAGCTAGAGTTGAAATGAATACCAGTAATACGTTGGGGCACCATGCCATTTAATCAACATGTCAGGCCTCGATAATATAACTCTTCTTGCTGTTAGGCGCGCGTGAGACGTGTCTCGATAACTCTTAAATCGATCTGACATCTGGTCAGGGAAAGTCCGACAGGGTGAACTGAAAGAAGCCCCTCATCTCTAAGGATATCCATTCTCTTGTCCATAAGATGTCCTTAATACTGCCAGATTCAAGGCAAAATTTACAGCACGATAATGCGGTAATGGATTCAGTCTTTGCGGCAGCCTGCTAGAGTGTAACACAACCATGTTTACTATGATGCATATATAAATACATAAACACGATCACGCTTTTTGTGGTACATGTACGTGTATGTGCATTTTTCCACGGACCACAGTCCAGAGGGCCAGGGCAGAGTGGCTGGGCCCATGATTTTCGAACAACTCGTCACAGATGAGTCATCAGTATATTCTGGTTCTTCACTCTTAAAGTCTCACCTGTGTGCTTTCAGTCCTTTACAAATCAGATTATCAGACACGTAGTGACTATATATATAAATATATATATATAATATAATGATATATAATAATATATAATAATATATAGTAATATATAATATATAATATATAATAATATATAATAATATATAATAATATATATATATATATATTTATATATATAGTCATTATTTATCTGATAATCTGATTTGT